TTGTTCAGTGTTAATTGATCATAAAATCTTTCATAACTGGGCCCAACAACAATGTATAATTTTTTGTGAGGTACAGAACAAGTTAAACTGCAGGCTTGAGGCTCAGTCCACTGTCTGTTTAGATTTTGTCCCAGTTGACAACGTTACCAGTAACTATATTGATCGCAGTATTTATTCAGTTGCCAATATTTAAGTTGATGCAGGTACTGATGTTTTTCTCCTTCTGGAATAACAGGAAACATCAGTCTGGCCAGTCCAGTTAATGAAATTAAGACCATTATTGCAATTGAGAGAAAACTTTCTTGGGCATCTTGCTCATTTTGCCTTGTGGGATATCCATACATTAAAACCCTAAACTGAAATCTTCTATCACACGACAAGATTCTGTCACTGTCATGACTTCAAAGACTCACAAGAAGCACCAGGAAACTTAAACTTCCAAAATGAGAGCACAGTGGTCCTTAATTCCACTGCTTGAGGTCAGCAGTCAGAACCAGATTTCAGAGGTGTCTTTCTAGCAACAGCAATCTGAGACCAGGAAAAAAGAATAACTTTGCTCATTTAAAACCTTGATTAGTCCCACTTGAAGTTTAAGGTAGTTGTAGATTAAAGTGAAATAAATGGACCCTGTTGTTACTAGGGGTGAGAAGAAGCAAGTACAATGTACCTTGACAGTTGGGTAGTGTTTACTTTAGGAATGTTTAAAAAGCAGTAGCAATAGTTCAGAATAAAGTCAACATCACAAGTCAAGGCCATCAACTGTATTGATATATATGTAAAACATGTTACAGATTTTGGATGAAAATGTACTTTTTGCACAAGAAAATGGATATGGACTGACCATTTTCTGATAAGAGGGAGAGTTTTTAACTTTCTGTGGTGTTCCATTTAATTTTGTCTTGTGTCAGTATGCTGTAGTGTCTTAAATCCCCAAACTGAAAAATGATTAGAACCTTGGTCATGCAACGCTTTACTGTCACTGTCATGATTGGAAAAGCCTGCCTGAAAAGACAACAACTCTTGTTAAATTCTCACAATGGGAGAGACACTGACACTTCGTCTTTCCACAAACAAACAGAGGAGTCCAGAGTTACACCCTTGATCAAGGTACTGTAGTTTCAAATTCAAACTATAGGCAGTCACTCAATGGTTCCAGTCAATTCTCTGTTACATAAATGGGTCTCTGGGTTTTCATTGTTAATGAGAATTTATTCTCAATTGATTTACCTATAAAATAAAGGAATTAAAGGATTTTAAAAATCCTTTGCAATTCTCATTTTGGTGCATTTTAATCATATCAGTTGAGATCAGTACATTTCTAGTATTCTAGTCTTCAATGTTCACATTCTTTAAGTCATTATATGTGGTTTACTCCATGATTTTTTTAACAATACTGGTAGCAATTTACAACCTTCCAGCATGCTGCTTATTTCCTTGATGAAAAAGAAGTGTAATTCATGGAACAGCTCAAACTAATCCAGGCGTGACTAATACAGTATTTTCATTTAGAGAATGTTCTACTACAGCGGAACAATTTTCTTGCAGATAAGAGACGGCAGAAATTCTTAAGACTTTAAAGTGACCCCCCCCCTGGAAAAAAACAAAAGGAAAGTCAGACAATTTGTAAGTCACATGAAGGAAAAATGTTTAGTGACATAAACCATGCTCATTTGATTTTAGTTTGTCAGAGGAAAGCAGATTCCATACAAAACCTGAACAAAACAGAAGTAACGAAATTATATTTTATAATGACCTATTAGGTTAATGAGTTGTATCGAATTACCATCTGTTAATTTACTTAATTTCTATAAAACAGGAAATGAAATAGTTTCATGTTTCTTTGGAATGTCCTTACTGTTCAAGAGAGGGTTCAGTGCTTTTTATAGTATGTGCTTCAAAAACTGATGACAAATCAGTACCGCAACATCCTACATAACTGCAAATCAGGGTGCAGGCACCAGTGTTAAGAAGTGTGACCCACAGATTGCTGAGTGGAAATGCCTGTCTGAATCCTGTTGGTATGCCTTTCAGCTAAGCAGTATCAAACACTGCACAAGAGCCACCCCAGCTAAGTGTTAAGTTAACAGAGCGAGGAAAAGCACTGAGGCTGTCCTTTGTGTTTTACATGGCCCTAGGGAGAGTGTAGGTCAGTGAATGACATTTTCTTGGCAGATTCCAGGACTGCGTGGGAAATGTGAGCCTCACAACACCGGTTTCACCTTGGGGTGCAAGCGAGACACACAGAGCCTTTTACGACACGTCACACCTTGTATGGTTTGTCAACTTTCAAACTGAGGTGACCACATTCTGTGGGTTTTTATTTTAGCCTCTCAGCTGAACAGTAACCACCTAATGCTGTTTAAATTAGAGACATAGTGAAAATGTTATCATTGTAAAGTGTGTAAAAACCAAACCGTTTAAAGTACGGTGTCTGGTGAATCCTTTACACAAACAGATACAACTAACATCAAATTAAAAATGGAAGGTTTGCAGAATGTAAAGTCATGTGACTCATACACAGAGATTGCAATCTAGAGTTAAAACCCCCCTTTTGGCTTGTTATCCCCCTCATCAATTCTTATTGTATGTTTGTGATCCATTTCAGTTGATAGAGATGCAAAGAAGGTCAATTTCATTTAAATTTTAACAACTTTTGTTTGTGAGCACTGTCTGGTTGGCTTAATCCATGTGTTCCTGTATTTTGGTGTTTACTTGAAAAAAAGTCTGTTGTCTCCATATGGACTTCAAGATCTAATTTATACAAGTAATCCCTTCAGATGCTGTAGATTGTGTTTTGGACGTAGAATTAGGCACTTATTTGCAACTGGTATTTATTAAAAAGATGCACACATTGTCAGAAGACATGCCATGCCAGATTTTGTTTTATCCATAATTAGAAGTTCTTTACAGGTACAGTAGCTCCACTTTGGCCAAATAAAAGGATTCGTATTTTAGCAAACATTTTTCTTGAGGATGATACCATTCCAAGGCCTTCAATTGCAATACAAGCTTCCTGGCTTTTCTTTCTTTTTTTACTTGCGGCCTCCTTTCTGCAGTGCTCACCTGGTGCCCTTTGGGAGGCACGTTTGTCTACACGCCCAGTGCACAATCTATTGGTCCTCATGGCCCAAAGCAAAGGGATTGTTTTTCTCTATTTGTACATTTGTACAAAAATCATTAGCTGGTGTCATTGACATTTGACAGGTAAAGGAATTTCCTGCAGCACCATTTGGGACAATATGATTTCAGCTTCCAAAAAGGCTTTGTCCGATCAAGTATTTTTCAGAGTGTAATTGACCCCTTGTAGACACACTCTTGTATGAACCCTGTCTCTGTTTCCCTTATGTACACTCTGTGCCTGAGGGGCATTTCATTTGTTTTGGGAGAGTCCAGACGTAATTAAGGTTTGGAAACCGCTTTCTCCCTCTTTGTCCGTTGATCTAGTTGTTTTGTTAAATGAGAACGGCAGTCTTGGACTAGCAGCAGCAGAAAAGGATATCGGATAGCTGGTCTCATTACAGATGTTGGCACTGTTCTGGCAGCATCTGGATTCCTTCCCTGGCATGACTGGTTCTCAGCCGGTCTCGGCATTATTTGTATGGAGTTGATATACTGCCGCAGTGGCTTGGTCCTCCTTTTTGAAGCTGTATGACCTTATTTTAGGAATCCGTTAGCAGTGAACTCGGAGGAGGTGGTGGGGAGGTTAGCCAGAGGGACTGCTGAACTGGATTTATTCTGTTCTTGAACAAATTAAAATTGATCAACATCACTTCGCAAAAAGGAAATGAAGCTAGTCATGCCATCTGTGCTTATTGTCATTGTTGTGTTGTTGTTTTTTTATTTGTAAAGCATATTTTTCTGCCTCTCAGTCAACAAAAGGTACAAAATATCAAGTCATGAAAATGTTGCCAATGAGCCTGAAAGTCTTGTGTGTGTACAATATATATGCATTGTTAATAAATATGAAAGGGTAGCATTCCCTTAAAGGTATCTTCATTAACCTTGCTAATGGAGAACAGCAAAGAAAAAATGTCACTGTCTTTGAAACTGGTGCTGAAGGGTGACAGATTAATATGAAGTTTCTATTTTGTTAACTAATGCTATTACATTTATTTTAACAGCAAATTAATATGCAATGAATGAAGTCTAAAGATTAAAGATTTTAACGAGCACTGTTGATAGATATTTGAGTTGGGAAAACTAACATTTTAATAGCATTTTCAGGTCTGAATACCTTTTTTATGAGGTTTTTCTCCGGGGTCATAATATGGCTCATTTCGTTTCATAATGTAATTTGACGTTACTTTATGCACAGCTTTATAGTGGATGAGCTCGCTTAGTTTATACAGAATTTCAAAGCTGTGAAAATGATATTTCAGTGCTGCCATTACAAGTAGCTTGGCAAAATAAACATTTAAAATACACTGATTCTAACAAAACATCCTAAACGTTTCAAAACGTTTTTGGGGATAATTCTCGGTTAAATATTCAGTAAGCTCTCGTAGAGGGTAAAAAACATTCTACAAGCGCAGTCCAGATATTCAGCTCTGGATGAGTGAACAGCACAATGGCTGCCTCAAGCATTTTCTTCATTTGTTGACAGCGATGGGATGATAATCTTTCAGTGTCTTTTTTTAATTAACGTCTGTATATACAATGTGCGTGTAAAAATTAAATCGATTGTGTTTCTATGGCGTCCAAACAATAACGTTCTGCTCGGGTTCTTGTCTGAATGCACACTCGCCAGTGTTAAATTAAATCTCACACAAAGATTGACACCAGTAAGCAAAGTGTCATGACGGGCACTTACAGGACAGTCACCTCTGTTATATTTTAGTGTTTTCTGTCATCAGCACATTCCCCAGTCTGTTGTCACTTCAACAAAGACTATCAGAATACCAAACGCCGCAGACCAGTGTTAGACCTCATAAAATATTGAATTGTGGCCAACACGTGTGCCTTTGGTGTTACAACAGTAATGTGTCTTAACTGATCGTTTGGATTCATCTTAATGTTTTCGTTTGTTCAGGCAACGACAAAATACGTGTATGACTTGTTTGCTTCTCGAAAACCACAAAGCCACCAAAGGCTCATCCAAAAAGCTTCGAGTTTCAAAGTAGGCCTAACTCCGTAAATTAATGTTTAACTATCTTAAACTTGTCAATATTAGTTTTCGTTTTCATTGGAACATTTGTACAAACGAAACAAGCTATTTTTATAACCTTTTGGATGACGATGTAGCTAATCTATCCCAGTTTTAGGGATTAAATATCCGTATTCTACCAATTAGGGGATTTCTGGAAGTTTAAAATCTTATTTATGTTCTCTAGTTATTTAATCAAGCAGTGGTAACTGCAGATGGATACGCTATGTATGTCCTCTGTTTTTCTACTTTTATTTTTAAATAATACAGGCGGTCAGTATTTTCTGATAAGAGTACACTTGGGCCGTTCTGACGGAGTCCGACTGGGTGGGAGAGAGTGAGAGAGGAGGGTGAGATCACGGAACAGCTCAGCCTTCACAGAGACGTTTTTCCTTTCCAGCAAGCGGCACTGTTTTCTGTTTTATGTCCCTCTTTCGAGCTGCACTAAGATCAGACTCGAAGCTTTTCCTAGGCTGAAATTAACTAGAATTCATTGAATCTGCGGATTTCGTGACGTTACCTTACGTGCTCCTTCTCTTCTCCCGTGCGTTGCTGGGTTGTATTCTCTCTCTTTCTCTCCATTCCCAGTCCGTGTCGTCTTTATATACTCCGGATACCGTTAACTCCGCTTTACAACCTGGATTAGAAGGAACTTAAAGGGTCGTACTCTTTTTTTTCTTTTTTCTTTTTCTTTTTTTTTTTGGTTTGGATTTAAAAAAAAAAACTAACTCTGGGAACTGATCAAGCTTTTCACCCGGGAGCATGGTAGTATGACAAAAGGCTTTTTTTCCCGAGATGTAAAAAAAAATCATAATTGATAACAATTGCCTTCCCTCCCCATTTCTGTGTATGATACGCTTGGCGTTGTAAAAACCCGTCTTAATTTCGAGAGGGTGGATAATGGATGAGTGAAGTCAGTGCGGTGTTAAATAGGTGAGTAAACCCTTTATATTTAATAATTTTCTTCGATTCTTGGGGCAACGTTCTGTGTTTTTGGTGTTTTTTTTCCAAGAAGGGGTTTCATCAACAAATTGAAGAGGATATCACATTAGTATAGTGAGAGCGGAGCCGCCAGTTACATAACAGTTGCATATACGGTAACATTAGCAATTTAATAATACACAAGCTTCTTTCGTGTGAATAAAGGGTACTACACTTAATAACATATTGAAACAATGTTCAAGGTAGTAGTGGCTTGGAACGCCACAGACGATCAGATTACCTCAGATCCTCCAAACGCAAACATGGCACACAGTACGATTTAAAAAATGTAGAAATGAGAAGCAAAATATATAGCCCATTTAAAAACGGCGATATATTCATTATGTAAACGTGATTAAAAGTCGGTGTCTTGTTTGTATACAGCTTGTATAGCTGTATCTTACTCTGAATGTGCTGTTAGTACTGCCTACTGTAAATGTGTCTACCAAAATACTGGATTTAAGTTTCTGCCCATTCGTACAAGTTGTCCAGACATGAGATAAATACCCTGGTGTTACATAGGACAGACCAATTAGACAATGCTTAGTTTTAAACTACTCATGTGTTTCAATTGAACGGCTTAGTCTGTCTCTTACGTTATTTCCGTGGCTTAATCTGTAAAATAGGCGAGGAAGATACATACAGTACTCCACCATGGCGTTAAAGAAGTTAAGACCCTACTCCTATGCACACAGTGAAACATACACCGTGACAATTCTCTGCGGCATTGACATTGTTCGTACTCGCTTAGTTATTATTCGAAAGAATTGTTTGTTTTTAAAAAAAAAACGCAGCCTGAGAAAGCGCAGTATCATTAAGGCAAATAGATGCGGGGACTGGAGGGGGTTGGGGACCCTGCGGTACAGTATACGAGTCCAAGGCTATTTAAAAAAAAAAAACATTTCAGCTTTAATTTTCTTAGGTACGGGGTATAAAGATTCACATCCAAACAGAGGCGATATGGATGCAGATATGGTTAGATCAGTGCTAATGAGGTGATACCTAATTTTGTCTGGCTACAAAAGAACTCCCTCCATCTCCATGGCGACCTGGAAATCTCTCATTCAGAACCATGGAGAGTGCGCGCAGCGAGTAGCTCGAGGAAGGGAGTCGGTCCAGCGCCGAGGACAAAGCGGGAGAGAGTAACGTGCACGGTGAAGCTTAAAAACTGTTGTCAGCCCTGGAGACGAGCGGGGGCAAGGTTTGACACCGAGACTGCTCTTCTGCCAGACACAGCGGGGTGAGTGCACCGAGCGTTTCGACTCCCGTCTCAGCTTACTGAGCGTACGGGTTCAGGGCTTTGGGAGCAGACACTTGAAGTGCCTTGTCTGAAGATGAATTGTTCTGAAGTATGAGTGCATTTAGTCGGAGCAAACGGCTGCTAGCCTTGCAGTATCGTGAACCGATTTTACCCGCCTGATAAAATAACGAACCAGACCCGCAAATTTAACGGACTGCGACACGATCCTGACTTTTTTTTGGGGGGGCAACACAAACTCTCTCAGCTGGATTTTAGTGGTTTTGATTGATTCGAGAAGTTACAGTACAGTATGTGCCCTATCAGGACCATGGTTAAAAAAAGAAGAAGCTCTCATTAACTTTGGTACAGTATTAATGACATCACTATGTTAGCCAAAGGGAGATCAAGCACATGAAAAGACGGGCGGAGGCTTAAGTTTTGTACTTTCTTTGTTGCAGCGATTAATTACCGAGTTAAGCATTTCAAGTCGCCTAGCTGATCTTCGGATGAAGTTTGATTACACTGAGCAAAGGAAAGTGAGACTGTCAAGCAAGCAAACGGCTGTTGCATAATGAGAACCCCTGGGCTGCCGGCTCACTTTTGGAAGAACAATTAGACGGGAGAACTGAACTGCTGCGTCTGTCAATTCCTCATAAGGAGATAATAATGAATTTGGGCTTAGCCTCTAGGCGTGTACAACAGGAGCAAGGCACTGGGCACGCAGAGTGTAGCGACAGTCCAGGATGTGATTTTTAAAACGAGTCAGTAGAGCCGAGTGGCGATCATTCTGATTTAAAAGGCCAAAGAGTACTCCCATGAACTAATCTGCCAAGTGAAAGAAATTGTAGGCTTGTGTTGGCTGTCTATTCCATAGAGCCCACTTTTAGGATCCAGTATATACAGTACTTTTTTTTGGCGAACGACTGCAACTGTTACCATATGCCGCAGCACGGCGTGATAACGTGACAGGTGGTTTATAAGTTTGTTTTTCCCCTTTGCCATTGCAACCTATTGGTGATTATAATAGGTGGGTTATAATAAGTTAGATTTGGCTTCAGCAAGTATGTGTTTAATCTTAAATGCCAAAGATTTATTGATCCACTTTTTTTTCGAAACATAACTGCGAAATTTAATCTTTTACTCCGGAAACACTGCTAGCTGCATTTCATTGATCATTGTGATTTGGCACATTGATTGTATACTTCTCTGCAGTTTCAGTACGTGCGTGCTACTATTTTTCGCAGTTGGCTCTTAAAACCTGACTTCATACGGTACGACTGCGCGCTTGTGTGATTGATTCATACGCATAAACCCCGTTTGACTCTGAGCATTTCATGCGATCTATAGAAATGAATCAATATTTTTCGCTTGCAGCGAGGAGGCGGTGATAAATGAAAACCTTGTTAAACTGCTGTAATATGAATTATTTCCATTAGTAAATATTCCCCCAAAAACTGAAAGCTTGGCATTTTTGCATTAGACAGACTTCAAACGTGAGGGAAGACCTTTGATTAAATACATTCGCTGAAATCATTAACAGGTTACCGCATGCTGCAAAGTTTCTCTCTGCCAAAAACTCAAACCCCATATAAGACTTTGATTAACGAGTTGAAGATTTGTTTTTGAGACGAATAGATGAATCCGTCTTAGCATAGAACTATTCTTAAGATTACTAGTCCTTGTAAAAGTCCCGAGGAAGTTTTTTTTTAACTCTTTTTCCATTAACATTATTTATAGTGTTTTTCACTGAGCTCTGTGCAGCGCTCACCCGTTTTAAGCCAATCTGATAATACGAATTTTCGTATAGACGAATAGACTCCAAGGCAAAGGCAGATATAATTACTGGTACTTTGTCGTCCCTTTGTAAAATTATTACCTGTCTATTTTAATTACTTTTTTGGGGGGGCCATTTCACGGGGGAAATCACCATGGGTGTATTAGATCCAGAATAAGCCATCCGTACGCGGCACTTGTGTCAGAGAGGACGCGTGTTTGCTTTAGATGGTTTTAAAACACAAACTGTATTGATACGACGGTACTGACCTCTGAGAAATAACGCGTTATTTAAATACACATCTCTCAATTTTTCACTCTATACTGGTCAGGACGTTCAAAACGTCAATAATATAACTCGAGCAAAACAGTCCAGAGTGCCATGGCGATTTATGACTGTATCGTTGCTCTAAGGATGCCGCCCAATTTTTATTAAATATATCCCCCAAGTTTTCTTCAGCGATTTGATGTTTATTCTTGAAGTATTTTTCATATAAAGGACAAGTTCTTATGTGATTAGTGGATTGGATAATTGCCTTAAATGATTAAGCGTCTAATCCATTTTTCATCGCGTTAGGTTTAAGAACATAAATAAGTTCATCTAAGCGGTAATAGGAGCTCATGGATAAACCTTCAGTACATATAAAAAACTTCCATTTTTGTGTGTAATTCAGTTTACTGCTTTGAACTTCGTGATTTCAAAACCAAGGACAGCGCGCCAGGATAGCGGACTATAGAACTAATTCCCTCATAATACCGGGTAGCTGTGACAACAAACAAAAATAACAATGATCGCTCTTCCAGCTTTTTATAGTTTGAATATTTATTCATTGGAGGTACCGCGTTGCACTATGTTTGCGCGGACTCAACTGATTTCCAATATAGTAAATGCTTGGACAAGATATGGAGAGGTTGTAGGGCATAGTAAGATTTCCTGGTTTATAATACTTTAATCGGTATATGAGTAGTATACAGTATCAGAGTCTCTTCATAGGCTGTAGTTGCATTTTTGTCTTACTTCTTCTTGATCTTGGAATACCACATCAAATGACTTTAACACTGTTCATGTTGTTATAATAACAGAACATTTTGCCATTTTAAGCGAGAGGTGTTTTTGCAGAGTCATTGCTCATATCATGACATATTTTGTACAAAGAAGCTGCATTGATAGAAATATGACAGGATTTGTATTTTATGTACCTGCAATGTTATATTTTACCTATGTATATCCTTCACTGTATATAGCACATATTGTATATAGTATTAATACCCCCTTTTTGTATAGTAAGGCTAAGGTGCAATCAGATTATCTTGCAGTTTAACGTCTGATTGTACAACATCTGAATCTCTGAATATTTACTGATTTAGGAAAACAGTTGTAGGTATTTTGCTACCGAAATTATTTAATATGTTACACAGTGAGTCATAAAGGGGGAACCACCTGTGGTGTCTCTAATACAATTCTTTGACTGAAATACTGCAAGTGTGTGACTGTGAAGGAGGGAGTCTGCCGAAGAAAGTTTGGGCAGAAGAATGAATGGATTTGGAGACTCGTCTCCCACGGAGAGCAGCGGTCCTTCCAGCCTGATTTGAGGGTTAATCTCCAGAGGGGGAGCGAATCCTGGAGTTAAATAGCAGCTTGTCCACTCCAGGCTCGTCTTGCTGCTCAATTACAGAAGAACTCCCTCAGGCCCTAAGGAGCAGTATTCTCCAGAGTGGACGTAGGAGTACAGCGACAGCGCAGAGCACGAAGCCTCACACTGCCCGTGTGTTTGATGGCCCTGCTTTGAAGATGCCGAAATGATTTTTGGGACTGATGTCCTGCTAAATTAATATCTGGTTTATTAGCTGCTAATGTCAAAATTGTAAAAAAAAATTCACCCCAGCAGTACTTTTGGACGCAGGTTGATCATGCGTTTCCGAATGTGCTACTTCCTCGTTCAGAAACGGAAAGTTTACCTGCTGCCATCTGGCAAACCACGTGAGCCAGCGCCATTAATCCAAACAGAATCCTTTCTGCATCCATATGGTATAACATGAGTTTAATTACTGACCCCATGCCTTGCACAGGAAACGCTGTTATTATTTTTGGTCTTGCTGTCGCCTTTATTATTTAGAATGGAAACGTGACACAGTTTCCATTGCTCTTCTTCACAGCTGATCTGCTCTAAGCACTTCAGAGCTGGTATTCGCCAGCTCCGTGTTTGCCTAGGCAGTGTAAATGTGACTACAGGGTTTATTTACATTTAATAGATTATATGCTCTGCATTTCTAATCCAAAGCACCTTCTTTAGGATTCTTTATGCTTGCTTGGATACACCCAAGTCCAGTGTCATTGTATCTGTTCGGATTTTACAGTTTAAAAAGGCTAGGAACTACTGTATACAGCAAGCTGTGTATCTATTTATAAACTGTAGTATCTTTTGATTAACTGCATAATGCTGTACTTTAGTTAATTACATTTGTTTGACATTCCCAGAAAAACATGGGTTGCTTTACAAAAAAGCCTGAGATTAAAGGCATAGATACTAGACATTTCACATTTTACAAACAAGGGAGAATTTGATCATTCACCACTAGAAAAATGGGTTTGCTTTATTTGTTGTGGGAGTTATATACTGTATATACATGGAATTTGCATAAAGAATCTTTAGTGCAAGTGTGAGGTCAGTAACATTTTATAAAACGTCTTTCTTTTTAGCATAGTGCATGGCTTATTTTATGTTTAATAACATGTTTTGGGTGCCTTAAAAACTGCGGTTAAAATGTATTTTCCTTTCTTTTGAAAAACACATTTCCCAACATTTTTTATATGTTAAGTATAATCAAGTTGCTGTTTGGCGCAGTTTGTGAACATCCGTAATCACATCTCCCGGTGGTCAAGGGGGGACAGGGAGAAGAGTTACATAAGGTGCTATCTGGATGTTTCAGTGATAGAGGGGGATGGCAAGCATTACAGTAAGAAGCGATGAAAAAAGTGGAGACCCCAGAATGTTACCACTTTATTCCACACACTGTGCATCTTTCATGGTGAAAGCCTGATGGATTGAAGAGCACGTTACCATGGTGATCATCGCTGCCTTGCTGATACTCCCCAGTGAAACCAAGGGATTTTTCCTCTGACAAGCTGCCTTAACATAGCCTGAGATGTTAGGAAATTGAACCTGCTGAAGTCCCAAAAGGTGCTTCATAATCTACATACAGTGCTAAGCAGCAGTGTGATATTT